ACACACACACACACACACACACACAATTTGAGGTTTACAGCAGGGTTTCTTCCATTTTTAGATTGAATAATGAGATCAGACAGATGTGTTCACATTATAACAGATGAGAGGGAAAAAAATGCAAGCTGCATATAATGGCTCATCATTGGCCTTACATTAAAACTGGATATTAACTCCGTAAGTCTCAATGAAATGTGTGTATGAACTATTTGACACGTTTGATGCAAGTTAATATGAAGGATTCAATAATGTTGTAGGCAACACAAAACCGAAAGCTTTTGAAACACGTCGGACTTCAGTGGATATGTATACATGTGTTATGTTTTAGGAACAAAAGGATGCAATATCATTTGATGGAAATGCAAATTATTAACCTACAGAAGGCTGAATTCGGAGGCATCCTGAAAATCACAGTGAACAAAAAATTAATACAGCAAGGTAGTCCATTTTGTAGCAGGTCCACACTAATGGTGCAACTGCCGATTCTGGTATTCTATGGCAAATGCAAATGTCATAGAATACCAGAATTGGGCTCCACTGGGGCACAGGGCCCACTGGAGGACGTCAGCTGTAAGATGACCCTCATGAAGTCTGTTTCTGTATTTGTGGCATGCAAGCAGATACCAGTCCTGCTGATGAGTTAAGGGCCTTCTAAAGCCCTGTCTGCCCTCTGCTACTCAGATGACCAGATCAATGTCCTGGAAGTTAAACCGAAAATTTTTTTAAGGAGAATATAGACTATGTATATAAAGATTAGAGATGGACTGATCCGATATTACGTATCTGTCTGATACTGACGTAAATTACTGGATCAGATATTGGAGGGAAATAAAAAATGTAATCCGATCCATTAAATATCAAAAAAGCACCTCAAAAAACTTGCGACATGGCATAACTCGGCTCACTACCGTAGCACGTCGGAGCAAGCATTCCCACGTTAAGCTTAACAACAGATATATGGAGCGACTGCCTCGCCCTCTCCTGCTGCTATTTCAATCATCAAACTGATCAATGATCAGCTGATCGGCTTTTCTGTCGCGAGTCCGTCTCTTTGTTTGTTTATCGCCCACTTCGCGCCAGAAAGAGGAAACCAGCGGCTGAACAACAGCAGCACGTTTAAGCTTGATAAGCTGTTGTTAGAATTTATTTAATATTACTTTCTACACCAGGATCTTTTTCTACAGCTGACGGCTGGTAACTGTGCAGGGGCGGATCTAGCAAAGTTTAGCCAGGGGGGCCGATAGGGCATGAACAGGGAAAAGGGGGCACAAAGACATACTTTTCTTTCTTATTCTCATTTAAAATGTCAGCTTTTAATAAATAATTATCTGAATCTTACACCCAAAGTTTTAATCTGATGTAAAATGTATAGAAGTCCATTACTGTATATAGTAACTGTTAAGTCTAATATACCCTAGTAAGCTATAGTACTTTTTCCTTTGGGAAGGTACCATCTGTGCAGTCTGCAGTTCTTGTTGAAGAAAGATGTTGAATCTATTTAATTATTTCTTGAAAAATAATTGATTTCTGTGCATTTTTTTTTTCCACACTGCATCAAATTAAGGTTGATTACGTCAATTAAGCATCATGAGGTGGAGGTGAGTGGTTCCCTTATTTTTTTTTTATTTTTTGCTGGGAGTTTTAGAACCCTATTAGTTAGGTTGCTTACTCTTTAAAATACCAGAATAGGGAGGATGGAGCAGGTTTAAGTTTATTAGATTGATCAGTATTGCTGAACTATGAAATATTTTGGGTGCAGTGTATTTTTTGCATACAGGTATAACAGAATAGCTTTAGTGTTTTTTTTTTTTTTAACTTGAGTATGAACTTATACAAAAAGCAGCAAGATATTAAAAAACTGTTTTATTGATTAAAAAAACACTATATCGGATTCATATTGGTATCGGACATAAAGTGGTATCGTGCCATCTCTAATAAAGATGTCTGACATGACAACAGCCCAGATGTCAAGCCACAGTGATATGACTTATTACGGAAATGTTTTTTATATATAGCTGACATATCTTGATATAGAAATATTCAAGTTGAATAATCTTTGCTGTCATACAGTATGTGATTTCTCAAGAATAAAATGACAACAGCGGTCAGTGGAAACCAAAATTATCAAGTCTTTTTTTTTTTTCTTTCTTTCTTTGAGCAATGGATATATTCATGGAAGCTACTTTGGGTTGTTTACCTATTCACAAAGGCTCACCACAGCAAGTAGGTTGGACCTGATGGTCTTCCTGATGCAAAAGGATTTGTTTGTTTGTTAGATGAGCGTGGAAACCACCACACTGTATAATTATGACTTTTTGAAAAAGCATGTGAGGCTGTATGTGGGTAAAAAACTGAGCATGAACTCACTGCTTAGGATGTATGGGTTCATATGACATGTGCCCAACAACTAGACTGTCACATCACCCATATTATAATCTCAGAAAGTTTAAGATTTACCCCGGACTACTTCAAAGCTACAACATGACCAAAAAACTGATCTGGTTATAATAATTAAAAAAATCCCACTTCTTCTCAAGTCCCTCAGGACCACCAGCATGCCTCTGGGACACAATTCTCCATTTATTGACTTGATTTTAAAGTGCTCCCTCCTCAAACACTGTAAGGGTTCCTCCTGAGTAGTGGACACGGTTATAAACATCTATTTCATTTATTTGCTTAAATGAACAAAGTTTTGCGCATTACAGTTGCCATTTTCACTCAGTCATAATACAAAGCCTTATCCTGTTGCCTTCAGTGAGCTGCAGGTACAGTAAACATGCACATGAATACAGATTCCCCTTTGAGGACATACATATTGTAAACAGTGTTTCTAAACAGCATTTAATTTAATCAGGCACAAACAATTTGTGTTCATTAGCCATCAGTGTTTTAGTGTTTCAACAGGTGGGCTGCTCAAGGTGAGTGACAGTCAGATATGATCAAAGGTAGAACTGGACTAGTGCAGCCTTGCGACACACAGGAAATGAGCACAGATGACTCTGTTTGGACTCTGTCCTCGGTGACATGCTGCACGGCCAGATATCGTTGAAGCTCAGAAACAAATCGCAGGACTCTAATCGACTTTAAAAAAAAAAGAGCCCTTCAATGCTTCAAGGGTGCTGGATAATCTTAAACATAGCTGTACAGAGTGTATATTGAAAGTGCTGTTATGAGCCACACATCAGATTCAAGGTAGTGATTTGATCTTTTCTCTTTTGCCTTCAGTGGCTGCGAGCGCTGCACTCCAGCAGGCAGAGCTTCAACATTGTTTTTGGAGAGTGTCCTTACTGCAGTAAGGTATGTGCGTGCCTCACAGTGTGACTGACAGCTGCCTTCAGAAAGCCCTCAATAGACATTCAGCTTATTAATTAGCATGCCTCTATACATCCTGTAGCCTTTTCTTCTGCCACTGCGCTTTCAACAATGTGCTGCATTCATACACTTTGACTGAAGCTACTCCTCGTCTGATAAAGGAGTAAGCGTGTGATACTGCGTGTCTGTGAATGCAGCTCGCCACCGATTCAAAGTCAAAGACTGTTTTATTCGAGCGTGTGAGTTGCAGTCAGAAACGAGAGCCCCCTTCATCTTTTTATCATAAAGAAATCTTTCATCGCATGTTTACCTTTACAGAACATCTAATAGGCAGAATAAACTGAGGCTTGTCCTTCTATTTCAGCCCATCACTGTGAAAATGGCAGCCCAGAAGTCCTGATGAGAGGCTTTGTGTTCCCGGCTGCTCCATCTCCACTTTGGGAAGGAGCTTTGAAAGGAGCTGTTAAAACTCGTAGATCCATTAGCTCCTCAAAGGGGCTTCAATGTACTTTGGCAAACTCTGACAACAGCAAGCAGTAAAAGAAAGGCGCCCAGAAAGAGGAACCAGGACGTCAGCCATTCACTCCATTGGGGACCGGCTTCAGGACTTGAGTTTTTGGGAACAGACTCTTCCCATTTACCCAAAGCATCTCTGTAGTAGAGCTGGCTATCCCAGTACTTTGGATGGCTGTACACCGCTCTCTGGTGTGTGTGTGTTTGCCTGTCCATGTCACGGTTTGCTCGCTCTTCTTTTCTCCTTTGTGGGAAGACTCGGCGCTCCATTCTCGCTGAGATCAGGGGCACGTCATCTGTTTTGCTGCTTGTCCTTGTGGGGTTACGTTTCTGTTAAAGAAGGTAATTCAAGTGTGTGCACTTTGAAGCATTTAGGTGTCAACTTTCAATTCTGCTTTTTCTTTGTAACCTTTAGAAATCTGGAGGAACAACCTAACTGAAGAGTCTACAGCACATCGTAAAGATTTAGTCAGGTGTAAATAGTTGTTTTGTAGCCTTTAGTGTAAAACGGGTTCAAACTGCCCGAGCTGTGGCCTCACACCTGTTTGGGTTGAGCTCTGGGCTTTACTGGAGGACTTCTGAGATCACGTGCAGCAATGGGTTTGGGCCTTTCTTCCTCTTCCTCACTGTCAATGTCTTCATAACTGCACACAGGCCTTTGCCTCGGGGACCTTCTGACAGCAGGGAGAACTTCTTCCTTCTATATTCAAACAAATAAAAGGCAGTTTGACCAATCAGGAACTTGATCATTTATTTGACAGTGAAATTTAGTATTTTAAACAGCCACAGCTCTCAGGTGCATTACAGGTAGAGGGATGAACACATCAAAGTACAACATCTAATGGCAAACGCACAAGAACCCAGGGTGCTGTGTTGTCTGCACTGTTCCACCACTGATTTTTAGCTGTGGGTAACCCCTGCCTGTCCAGATTCATAATAAAACAAAAACACTTGCCAAATTATTCTTCATCTTCATAACGTGCTTATAGTGGAATCCATAGGGGACAAAATCCACTAACCAACCAATCGAGGCAGCAGTGAACAGCTCCTGTTTTATGAGGTAAAATGACTGTTTTTGTCAGTGGAGGCTGGTGGAGTGTAATGGCTTGTCTGACAGCAGGTAAAGCAGTAAGAATGTTCTAATGTTGGCGTCTACTTAAACCCATATTGGTTCTTTGAGGTGTGTAAAATCTGTGCCTGATGACTGTGTCCACAGCAGCGTGAGGTTTTAGATTCAGGCTCTTGTCTGTGTGGGAGATCACTTCAAAGAAACCAAATTATAACCTGCTGAGTGAAAACAGTTTACCCACGTATTACTTTTAACACAGAAATATACAACACAGTTCTGCAGCTCCTGACTGAGAAACCAACTGCTTTTATGCATGACCTGCAATATTACACATCGTACGTCTCCTGCTGATCACTCTGTTTTAACAAAGTGCCTGTGACAGATATTTGAATGTCATTCTGTCTAAAAATACTAATTTTTGATCCATTTTGTGTAAATCTTCCAGTGTTTCACCTTGAATATAGTACACGAGAAGTTTGTAACTTCATTTTTCAGATTTTTTTTTTAATGCAGTGTGTTTTGTGTGCAAAGGTCTTAAAAGTAGCACAAAGGCTGAAAAATGCTGGACAGTAATTTACTCAGTTTGGATGCCTTGTGGTGTTCATGTCATCATCATGTACACACAGAGGTGCAACATCAGGTCAGTCAAAGCTGACCTCATCATTAGGTTAACTCCGGCTTCAGCTGTAGTCTCTGATCTTTCTTTTAGACACTTTAGCAGGAAGCAGAAATGTCACACAGTAAACTGTTACACAAGCTTCTGAACCCTTCTGATTTAATATTCCAGTGTATTTCAAATCTAGTTTCATCAACGAAACAAGGCTGTTTTCCTACTGCCGCTACACAGCACCTGGTTTACCTCCACTCTTGCCGGTTAGTTTTTTTTTTTTTTTTTTTTTTTTTTTTTTTTTTTTGTGTCCCGTTTGGATCTTTAGCATCAGAATTGTTGTCTTAAGGCCAAGAAAGATGCCAAGCGGATTTATTTTACCAAGTGGATCATCATGGCCTTGCCATATTGGTCCATTTGATTGACCTTTATTATAATTATGAATTTATTTTATTTTCAGTTGCTACAAACGGGACAGACATGACTGGGGGATAGGACAGGGAGAGAGAATGAAAGAAAGAGAGGGAGAGAAAGAAAACCAAAGGGGAGAAGAGACGGTGAGAAGGGGGGGAAGAAAAGAAAAAAAAACAAAACAAAAACAAAACACCTGGGTCACCTGTATGGAGAAAAAAAACAGAAGAGAAAGCAAACAACAAAGAGCAACATAATAAAAAAAACGGCACCATCACAATAAACTAGCTAGCAGTAGATATCAGTAGATACTAAATAATAAACGATATTGTGCAGCACGCAAGATAGACAGCGCACAATGTGCTTTGAGGCAGCAGCCAAGAAAGCTGTAGTCCGCGTCTGTGAATACCCGTGTGTACACCTGTGTGCATACCTGTGTGGATCAGCATGCTTGTATTCCAAAGGTTTCTCCATGTAACGATCTGCTAGGGAGTGTGGGGAGCCACAGCCCCGTCCTCCAGGGTATGAAGCAGGTATGGAGGAGATCAAAACTCCAGACAGGAAGACCAACAGAGGGGCAGCCGCGCCACTGTCCCAGAAAGAGCTGAGGAGAGTCCCAGATGAGGGCTCACTCAGCAGCCGCGGAGCAGAAGCCAGGGGGAGTTGCAGTGACGCGCCCGTGAGCTCCGCCGGCAGCCAGCCGTGCCTGAGTGACCGAGCCCCAGGCCGAGAGGCCGGGGGCACCCCACCTCCGAAGTGGCCCGAGCGAGCCCCAGGCTCCAGGCCCCGATAAGCGGCCGCCAAGGAGTGAGCCGGTGTGTACCTCGGACGCCCATCCCCGCAGACACAAAGAACCACCAACGCACCGATGTCTGAGGGAGTCCGCCACTGGCAGGGGAAGTGGTGGTGGGGGAGATAGGCCTCCAAACCTTGGAGGGCCTGAGATGTCCCCAGAGAGGTGGCGCCTGACACCCAACCTGACATATAGACACAGACATACAGGCACACACAGACACAAACATCCATTCCCACCCTCATGCTCTCATATGCACTTACTCCACACTCAACCAACGTGGAGACAGACATAAAGAGACGCTGTACACACGATCACACTCCCCAAGCGTACTCTACGAACCGGGTCTAGGTACCCTTGCCCCTGGAGGGGGGAACTGCACCCAGACCCAGGTGGTGTTACCCTTTTCCCTGCGGTGGGGAGAGGCAGACCGCCCCGACTCCGCAGCAGCAGGGAGGCCCCACACTCCAGACCGCAGTCGGACGGCCAACTCCTCCTCCCAGCCCCCCCGCTCCAGCAGGCCGCAGAGAACGGGGGTGTCTCAGCATACTGTTGCATAAAGGGTGACAGTTAAGGTGTTTGAGGCCTTACCTGTTCTGACAGAGGTTTATTGATGGGTGGTCCTCTGATGTAGCCAGCTGGCACTGCTTTGGACTTTGCGCCTTCATGGACTTCATCATGGTCCTGTAGAGGTGCAGCTTTGGCTCTAGAGACTCCGCTCGCTCCTTCTGCTTTCTGCTGACGGAAACAAAAAGCAGTTTTATTATCTCTGTGATGGCCGATGTGAGGCCGACACGACTGCTTTCTAACTGACCTCATTTCAGTCACAACATTATCTGCGAGCTTATTTCTCCTCCTTTAATGCAACGCAGCTGGAGGACAGATTGGGTCAGATATGAGATCCTGCCATCTTCAGTGTACGAAGCTATACAGTGCAATTTAGTTCAGTGTTCTGCGTTTACTTCACCGTGTGTCACCCGCTAGCAGGAGAGCTAACAGCATTAGCTGAAGCTAGACAAGCATCAGCAGTTTGTCTCAGATGAAGGTAAGGCTTTCACTGTCCACTTCCTCATCTCAGCTACTGACTCTCACTCATGTTTGGTTTGTTTCTTTTACTGGACTGTTACTGTTGTCAAGTCCAAAATAAAATACTCAAACTCAATACCAATATCCAGGAGAATACACAGTCACATTTTTCATGTTACACATAGGCAGAACTGATAATATTTGCTGCCTGATGCCAGCACCAACATTATCACTACAAAAGTTGCTGCTGAGTCCAGATTCTGTGTGAAGCCTCAGTCTAAAGGCCATTTCCTCTGAACTCCTGATCTACAGCTGTGCATGCTTTGCTCCTATGTCTTTTAATGTCACGTGAAATCTCTTTACCCCATAAGCCCATCTTTGAACTGTCTTCCTTAAATAAAACTTTGCCTCACTACAAAACTATAATCCTCCATAAAATAATTCCATATTTATCCAACACTAGTGGCAAATGATTGTGTGAACATACCCATTCAGTGGCCTTTATCTCAGCTGACATTTACTCTCCTCACTAAACCGCCTGTAAATGGCCACTTCTGTTTAACTAGGGATCAAACTGGCCAGCACTTTAGCATGGAAATTAAATGACACAAGGAGAGGAGAGGAAATCAGGAGCATAATTGGAGACACCCTGTGCTCTGTAGTGTGTGTCATCAACTCCTTCAAATTGGGCCGTTGATAGTAGGGGGGGTCAAGAAGTTATTCTGTTAAATTGAGGCAGAATCGCAGCCCTCCAGCTTCAGACCTGACCACCTCTAGTTCACATGCTCGTTGGGGCAGGTTAGCCCTCCCTTTCACTGCTGTCACAATTTAGCACTCAGGGTTAAGAGACTGAGCTGGGGAAATGAGGATCTTTGTGGCCAAACACTTAAGTAGTTGAATGTTGACTGAATGGTAAAATTCTGTCAATTATCACCAGTCTTAGATCTAATGTTTTTGGTGTATTCTCAGCTTCTGTGTCATAGTGGTTATTCTCCAATGCACGAGAAACATTTTAAGGAGGGCCAGTCAATGGTGAGAGTAATCAGACCATCACATCACAAAGATTCCCACTGGGGTTAAAGCCAGCAGTCTGTGGTGGTGAATCATACTTTCATAATCTGCCTGACGAATCCTGGCGTTGTCATCTTGGAATACGCCTGTGCCTGTGAAGTGACCACACCCGCTGAGAAAGTGAGCTGCTATAGACAGATGTCTAACTGAGCCAACATTTCAGTAAGAAGCCAAATACCTACTGGAGGATGAAGGTGGGTTCACAGGATTTCAGTGCATAAAGGAAAAGATGTCAGTGGTGCCAAATTTTTTCCACACCATCTCACAGGTTTTGAGTCCTCACCTTTTCCTTGGCTCGAGGATCTTTGGTGGGCGATTCCCCTGCAGCTCCCTGTGGCTTGGACAAATCAAGTCCTCCCCTGACAGCACTGCCCCACAGGTTTTTAAGATACTGGTAATCGGGCTTCTCTTGGTAGTCCAGTTTGTTCACATAAAGGAGGAATTTGGCCACCTCATCTGAAGACAGGAGCAGAGTGGACATCAAGAATCAGATATGTTAAGTGATACTGATAGTGATTTGATTAAATCTGGTTGGATTTTTACAAAGTTACTATTCCAGAAAGTGTGCATCTTCAGAAAATGAAGCACCCTGTATATTTTTGAGTGTGTGTGTCTATGTGTGTGGTGGTATCTCTCCGCAGAGGAGATCAAGCGAGCACGTGGCTAAGGACCTGCATGTGTGGAAGTGTCATACTCAGTCAGTCCTGATGCATCACACACTGGCCAGGTGACATGTCTGGCACATACTGCAGTAGCACGGTGTCACACACACACACACACACACACAGGGTTGATGCATACCCCAGCTCTTATCTGTGGCGGGCAGCCGGGCTTTGTCAGCAGAGGAGAATCTAGTCCCAACCATACATCACACACCGAGCCATAGCACAGGTGTGACCTCTCCTTATAAAGAGGAGAGATAAAACACGACTAACTTTGAAAGGCATGTCAATGGGACAGCTGTTTAATTGCTACGAAGTTATTCTGGAGCTTCAGGTGAGAGAAAAGGAGAGAGTGTTTTATTCTGGGTGGGACATTTTCATGTAGCCTGGACTGTCACAGCCTCGTCTCTTCTTATAATCCAGTTTAAAGATTGTCTTCACTTCAGGCATTTTTAAGCCAAACTAAGTTTAGCCTCTTCATTGAGCTCAGCAAATAACCACACAGCTACACCAAGTTTATGTGTCACGCGTCATCATTTTCACCCAGCTAGCAAAGGATTTTGCACTCTTTGCATTATTAACGTACTGGAATCTTAATTTACGATGGGAATCTAAGGTCACAACACCAAACTGTAAATATTCGGCCATGCCGCTTAATCTTTGAAGTCAGGAGTATAAAGTCAAGCAGTTAGCCACACAATTTGCCTACACAGTGCGTAAAAGTCACCCACACTGTGCTGACTCAGTTCTTGGATCAGATTCCAAGCAGCATGTGGAAGAATACAGAAACACCTGTAGAGTTGGGCTGTAGCTATATTCCATTAGACCTGAACTTGCCTTCAGTATATCTCTATAAGTAAAAAATCTTTGAAATAGTCCATTTGTAGAGAAAATCTAAGTAATGACATCATTCTAATGACTAGAAAAGTCCTCATCTTAGATATGTTGTTTCTACATTAACACGTACTGATTTAAAAAAATAAAGAAGTGCTGCTCTGTCTAATCTTGTATTCTTATTAACAGAGACTCTCAGTAAACCCAGAGCCCAAAAGAAGATTTTTCTCTTCCCCTCCAAAGGCTTGTAGTTTTACTTTCAAATTCTCTCGTTAACCTGAGAAGTGGAGAACAAGTTCGCTAACCTGAAGATGCCCTTTGGCCTTGGCTTACCTGTGCTGGCTCCGCTCACTGACAGCTGCTGGACTGAATGTGGCAGATTATCCATCAGTCTGAGAGAAGAAGTGAAAACAGAAGAGGTGAGAACAGAAAAGATCTGAGAGATGGACTCGGGCAGAGCAGAAGAACGAGTTGAAATGAAGCCAGAGCACACAACATTAGTTTTTCTCACTCTGACATCAACTACACACACTCAACATAATTATTAGGAGTAGATTATGTATGCAACGTGCTGTGGAGTACATTCCATATATATCTAGCCTCATATCAGACAGAGCTGTTAAGTCATTACACTCTTATTTGCACTTGTAGTCTTTGTTTCTTTTTAATTAAATTTAAAAAGAATTAATGGAAACTTTAAAAGACCATAAAAACCTGGAGAACTATTGCTGAAGACCTCATTAAAAATTACAAGAAAGTCTTGTCTTATAGAAAGCTCACCCAGAGATAAGGAAATTCTGGGTGGCTCAAGACTTTTGCACAGTACTGAAGCAGAGGAGACTTGGCAGCCACCCTAGCATGAATCCAAGCTCCAATCAAAATGAATGAGAGCTCCATAACTCTAAAAGCGCACAGTAAAATCTGCCCTCAGGTATAACTTAAACAAACAAGAAAACTTATCCTGTTTAATGAAATGCGCTCAAGCAGTGTCCTGTAAGCGAAACAGACTCAAAGCTTTGATATAATTTTACCACTCCTTAAACCAGACAGGTGGACTGGGTGATGTCTGGGTGGACATCATTAAAACAGACTACACCTGTGCTATGCTGCACATGCTTCTTTAAGGCAGAAACAGGAAGAAAGGTAGTAACGATTTATAGTTATGTTAATAAGTGAAATTCCAGTATCAGACTGTGTGTGTGTGGTATTATATGTTGTACTGTTAGAGCAACAGATGCTGCAATGCAATTATTATAATTTCATTTCACTACAGAAATCTGCGACGTCAGTCAACAGCTTTTCATGGCAATAAAGAGACTAATCCAGAAAAAAAGGTGTTTAAAATCTTCCATCCTTCTGTAGAGAGTACCCGGATACACAGTCAGTCTCAGTTACTCCCTACCTGGTCTTTGCCTCCTGGACCTGAGTTGGATTTTTGAGGACGTCGTCCCAAGGCAGAGACCCACATAACCAGTGAAGGAGACAGAAACCCAAAATTTGGAGGTCACCACGTCTAGATGCCGCTGTAGAGGAAGAAAAATGAGATGATGGTGACGGTGCAGTACTGCTAGCATAATTCCATAAAGACAATTTAAAGAAGACAATGAAAAAGTAGAAGCACGTAAGTCCGTAGTTAGAAAATATTGCTGTTTGTCGTTCAATCAAATAGTTGGGGGTTTTTTCCTGTAGCATAGCCGAGGTTGGACACAAGTACTCTTAAATTTTGAGGTTAAAGCTAACACAGTAGAAATCAATCAAAAAGGCTGAAGCACAGATACTAATTCTTACACTGTGTCATCTGTCAGTGGGTTATTTTGTTTGGCCAAACAGGATGGAAACTTATCAAGACAAGAAAGTGTATATCAACTAGATTCCTCTTTTCAATTACAGTCTCTATGTGAGATTGAATACTGTGTTATACCATCATGATGACTTTTTGGTGGGTGGGTTCAGCTTCTACTTCCAAATAGACTTGTGTAGCTTCCCACACTTACTATGATTAAAAAACCCCTTCTGGAGTATTCCTGCTGACTTATTTGGTCATTTTTTCTTTAGGATCTTTAAATGAAAAAAAAAAAAAATACCTGTGCGTCATCCAGACACTCAAAGTAAAACTTCAATGACTGGTTGTAACACACATCTCAGTTCAAATCACTACCACATGTTACAGAAGTCAACAGTAGTGTACTGCTGACCCCATCTGTGCTCCTCCAGTCTGCTAACAGAAACATTGTTTTGTTTTGTTTTGTTTTAAATGGTGGAACTGATTTCCCTTTAGTCTGAAACTGGTGGGAAAGTGAAAGGCAGATCACAGGCTCTCTATATAAAAGTCTGTATTTAAAAGATGGACACAGCCACCATGACATCACCCAATTGGTTTCGGACTCCACATCTTTAAGCACCAACACTAGTGGTTTGACTGCAACATGTTGGTTTTTTGAAGCCAAAAGTGACACATGGTCAATCAGTGGGACATAACAGACTGATTACTAGAATATATTGATCAAAACTAAAGGACAAGCTTCCAGGAAATATTGTTTGTCTGATAGACTGCTTAACTACAGACACGAGAGCACGATCCAGTGAAGTGACTTAAATTAGCAGAGTTGAAACCCTGCAGGGGGCACAGCCGGCTGTGTCAGCACACCTGATAACTCCAAGGTGAGACATGAAAACTACTTAAAAGCTCGTACCCTCAACAGTTGTTATCAAGGAGGAACCATTATAAAGAGTACAAAATATGTGTCTCACACCAGACTGTAAAAATGCTTTACATTGCTGGTAAGCTCGGCATTTAAACATTGGAGTCTGTGGGGACTGACTCCGTGTTCAAGCGTGCCTCAGATGGCTGTCAGAGGAACTGGAGTTCTGGCGCTTCCACACTGGCTTCATTTTTTAGATGGGGCGATCGTGGCTCAAGAGTTGGGAGTTCACCTTGTAATCGGAAGGTTGCCGGTTCGAGCCCCGGCTTGGACAGTCTCGGTCGTTGTGTCCTTGGGCAAGACACTTCACCCGTTGCCTACTGGTGGTGGTCAGAGGGCCCGGTGGCGCCAGTGTCCGGCAGCCTCGCCTCTGTCAGTGCGCCCCAGGGTGGCTGTGGCTACAATGTAGCTGCCATCACCATAAGTGTGCGTGAATGGGTGGATGACTGGATATGTAAAGCGCTTTGGGGTCCTAGGGACTTAAAGCGCTATATAAATACAGGCCATTTACCATTTTCCCAAATGAATACTATAGCTTACTGGGGTATATTAGACTTAACAGTTACTATATACAGTAATGGACTTCTATTCATTTTACATCAATTAAAACTTTGGGTAAGATTCAGATAATTATTTATTAAAAGCTCACATTTTAAATGAGAATAAGAAAGAAAAGTATGTCTTTGTGCCCCCTTTTCCCTGTTCATGCCCTATCGGCCCCCCTGGCTAAACTTTGCTAGATCCGCCCCTGCACAGTTACCAGCCGTCAGCTCAGTAGAAAAAGATCCTGGTGTAGAAAGTAATATTAAATAAATTCTAACAACAGCTTATCAAGCTTAAACGTGCTGCTGTTGTTCAGCCGCTGGTTTCCTCTTTCTGGCGCGAAGTGGGCGATAAACAAACAAGAGAGACGGACTCGCGACAGAAAAGCCGATCAGCTGATCATTGATCAGTTTCACTGATTGAAGTAGCAGCAGGAGAGGGAGGAGAGAGAAGAGGCAGTCGCTCCATATATCGGTTGTTAAGCTTAACGTGGGAATGCTTTACAAACATTCAGAGATGAACTTACACACTTGCTTTACTTCTCTCTGGGATAACTTCCTCAGAGATGAAATGCCAGATTTCAGGCTACAAATACACACAGCCGCTCTATCACATGAGCACACTGCTCCGACGTGCTACGGTTATGAGCCGAGTTACGCCATGTCGCAAGTTTTGATGTGCTTTTTTGATATTTAATGGATCGGATTACATTTTTCATTTCCCTACGATATCCGATCCAGTAATTTACATCAGTATCGGACCGATACCGATACATAATATCGGATCGGTCCATCTCTACTATAGAGTACAATTAGAGTGGATCAGTTGCTGACTTTAAAGAACTATTGTTCTCAATATGTGCCTTAGACCTAAGAGTCCTGTAATCAGCCATCTCAGCACTGTAAATATCCCAACACAAAAAAGGTTTCCACAAACCATAACCAGGGATCTGAACGGCACAAGTTGATGTTAGGGAACTAAATAGATTTTACAAGTGTGGGTTCCCATGTACTAAAGCAGGGGTGTCAAACTCAAATACACAGTGGGCCAAAATTCAAAACTGGAACAAAGTCGTGGGCTAACATTAATATTTATTGAAAAACAAAATCTTCCTCCAGATAGAAGAATGAATCTTTTCTTATGGACTCAAACATGTTTTGCTGAAAAACTGAATATGGAACAAGCAAAGCTTAATACTAAACAATATATATATTAGCTGTATAATACCAGTAGGCCAGCTCTAATAGTAATTTGGTATGGCTTCGCGGGCCAAATGTAATTGCGGGCCAGAGTTTGACACCTATGCACTAAAGCTTCTTTAAGAACAAGTCCAGACTGTGTTTGTGTCTTATTGTGGTTGTGTGTGTGACTGCATGAGTCTACATTAATGTGTGAGGTCTATCAATATTTAGCGACCAAGTCCATCCAGAGGGGTCGAGCCCGAGGGTTTTAGCAGCTCAATACTGTAACAGCCGCCACACGTCTCGGGAGAAATTACCTATCGACTGACTCCATCAGAGGGGAGAAATCTCCTCCCTGAGTCGCAGCCAGCATTGATCCTCTCCAGCCAATAGTCTGGTCTAAGGAGGAAAGCGTGGTCACTGGCACAGAAGACCACATTATGTGGGATGGGAGGGCAGTAATCTGACAACATGCAAATTCTTGAAATGTAAGTATTCAAATGTACGAATGCAAGGTTACATCTTCAAGATGAAGATGGGCACAGATCATCTATAAGTACTAAACATTTCAAGGAAACATTGTTGTGTCTGAGTCAGAAACTGCAAGGCTAGCATAGAATACTAAAGTGGACCCAGCAGGAAGTCTAAATAATCAGTGAGGCTGGTCAGAACAGGAGTAGTGGTGAAAGACTGGATGTATAGGAAGGGGGTTGAGAAAAGAGGTGTTAGATAATGCCTCCCACCCAACAGCATGTGCTGTTTCTATGGAGTATTTAAGAACAGATTATATGGATATACCACACACACACACACACACACACACACACACACACACACACACACACACACACA